ATAAGGGAGAAAAGCTAAGAGCCTATAATAAATGTGTGATCCGTACCATAAGCGAGATACAATATTGTGACATGATTAAGAAGGTGGGCTCTGGTCTAAGACTGGTGGGTTTGAACCATGTCTTGATGGTAGCTACATTAAGTTGTGCAAGACTCAACCCTTCCCCACCTCTGTTTCCCCATCTATAAAATGGGAACAGTAGTACTCTCTTCAAGAGGAATATGGAAGGCAGTAAAACTTGGTGTGGGTAATTTCTGGGATACTGCTTTTAGTGACTTGTTTCTATTCAATAATGTTGGAGTGTGTGTTTAAGAGTCGTTAAGTTGCAATGCTTGGTGTACCATTCATGGGTGAATTAGAGGCCCATGTTAGAATACCTAGAGTCTGTTTCCAGCCCTTCATAAACTCTCACAATCATTCTGCTTCACTAGGCCTTTGGTTTCTTCTCTATTTAAATGAACATAGGAAGTTCTCCAGCAGGGCCGTTATCTGTCTTGTTCCACATCTGGAACAGTGCTTGGCTTATAGTAGACATGGATAAATGCTGGTATAGCACAACTTGGAGATATTATGAAGATGGCACTACAATATGTGTGAACATAACTTTGAGAAGGAATCATAAGTACTACACAGAAATGCTTGATTTTCCTTGTTTAAGATTCCAAAGAGAGATAAGAGATAGGAAACTGCTACATTTCTCTACCAGGATCTAAGCATGAGATTTAGAGTCAGAGAATCTTGCCAGGAGCTGTGTTTCTACCACTAGAGACTTTGTAACTTCAGATAATTTAACCTCCTTGAACTTCATTTCTTTCACTGGTCTTTTTTGGGTTATCTCCCATGCTGTAGAGGATTTTTTAGGGCTCCAAAATCAATGAGATAAAAATACTTGTGAGCTGCAAATGTACAAGTACAAATGTACTAAGAAATTGTAACTTTTTAAGTTCTTCCTTAGAATCATGAAAAGCAAACCTGCATTTCTATTACTCAAGTCTAAAGTAGTGAAGATGAAGTTGTGTTGTCTCCCAAACAACGCTGATTTTTTAAATGGACCCCCTTATTCCCAGCTTTTATACACAGATGAGCAAAGCTGCGTGAGGGAATGTCTCTGCACTGTCACACCAGCTCTTTTTACTTGTTGCACCTAACTGGTTCTGCGCCAGCTCCGAAAATAGTTCCAGTCTGAAGGAAGACATGCAGACAAGTTCTGGCTGGAAATGTTTTGAGGAACTGGCCAGGGGCCCGTCAGAGGTTACAGGCCAATTTTAAAAATGAAGAAAATTCCTTCTCCCATTCCCTCTGTCTTATATAAAATGCATGGCCAGAGTTCAATTCCTATTTGTATTTTTCCTTTGTCAAAGTTTAAAGTTCAAATTTATTGTTTATTATTGTTTCTGTACTTGATAGACCGATAGAAAAAATCTGCCTCCAGAACCTCACTCACTGTCTTATGTGCTGAGAAAAAAAATATTATATAGATATATATTCTTTTTTGTTATTTTTTCTTTCAAATATATTTAGGCAACCTATATGACTTAGTTATAGGACTAAATTTGACTACTTCTTTAAATATAAACTTACAAACTCACAGAACATACTCTTTTAGAAGTACTTTCTATAATACAAATGTGGAAATGAATTTACTCTTGAAGTTCAATTTAGGAATACTACTTAGAAGAATTTGTGTCTAAGTAGAATCTAAGAAAGAAAAGAGTGGGGTAGCCAGTTCCATCACCTGTGAGACATTTTTGCTGTTGTTGTTGTCGTGTCTCTTTAGACTTAATAAATAGCTTTATCAATATATAATTCACATACTATCCAGTTCACTCATTTAAAGTTTACAGTTTAGTGAGTGGGCTTTTAGTATATTTGAAAATTGTGCAGCCATCATCACTATCTAATTCCAGAATATTTTCATCGCCCTCAAAGGAGACCCTATACACATTCAGTAGTCAGTCCACTTTCTTCTCTTCTCCAGGCTCTCACAACCATTAATTTGCTTTCTGACTCAGGATTTAATATAAATGGAACCATACAGCATGTGGCTATCATGACTGGCTTCTTCCACTTAGCATCATTTTTTCAAGGTTCATTCATGTTGTGGCATGTGTCAATACTTTATTCCTTTTTAGGATAGAATAATATTTCATTGTGTGGATATATCACATTTTGTTTATCCACCCATCTGCTGATGGACACTTGGAATGTATCCACCTCTTGGCTATTCTGAATAGTGCTGCTATGAACATGAGTGTACAAATATGTCTTCAAGACCCTGCTTTCAATTCTTTTGTGTCTATACCTAGGCATAGAAGTGCTCAGTCATATGGTAACTGTTTAACATTTTGAGGAACCGTCAGACTGTTTGCCACAGCAGCTATACTATTTTACATTCCCATCACCAATGTTCAACAGCCCCAGTTTCTCCAATTTTTCTCTCTTTTTTATTGTAGCCATCCTAAGGATATGAAGTGGTATCCCTTTGTGGTTTTCATTTGTATTTCCCAATCTGGCTATTTAAATTAAAGAATATACTTTAAATGTTTTTCTAGAGGTCATTCGCCTGACAACCTTAACCCTCCAGAACATATTGCATGGAACATATTGCAAAAGGGTCTCCAAATCTGTAAGAGCAGTCACACACCACACACCTTCTGCATGAAAGCCTGGTACTTTGTCCCCAGACATCTCATATAGTGAATAACTAACTCTTATTTAACATTCAGGATTATGTAATCCAGAAAGGAGCTGGACAGTCCACCATGGCAGATACTGTGGCAAGAAGGGAAATTACAGTAGAAGTGACAATTAATAATCTGCTACTGAAAGAGAACTATAATACTTCCCAGGATGTTTATAATACCAAGTCTTCAACCAGAGGTCAAATTATGCTCAGTACTTTTTAAGAAGACAAAGCTACATATAATACATTTTGGAAATATTTCCGTGAAGAATGACTTAGAGAAACACATTTTGCTCTTAAATGAATAAGCTTGGGTTTTCCATATACTTAATTTCCTAATGGTGTCTGAAAAATCAGGTGAATGTAGAAAAGATAAACTGAAAATTCGGATTCTGTAAAATTACTGAAGAAACTGTTTAAAAGAGTAAGTGAAATGTTTTCAAGAACTTTAATACAGCTTTTTTGATGGGTTAACAATTAGTTGATTTATCTGCTACTCAGAGCTTACTTTGGCTTTAGAAGATCCCAGTTAATTTTGGTACATGTTCATGGCAGAATGCTGGTAAATTAACATTTATCTTCTCAGCTGAGTTCCTGGAAATTGTTGCTGGTTGACAGTGGGTTGAAGTACAAACCCTAAAACTGCACAATATTTAATGTATGACCAGTGTATGAACAGTCCATTCTGTCTCACTTATTAGTCCACGTTGAAACTTCCTTCTGAGTTTCTCAATGTCCCTTCATAAAGACTGAGAACTAATAGAGCATACACCGAAAAAAATAAATCCAGCATCATTTCAAGGGTTTCTTTCTTGAACTGAAGCACATTTGACATTTCACAGTCTTCCCCCTGCCTCATTTGCAGTGGGTCTCCAGATAGTTGTGCCATGACTGTTTTATGTTATCATCAACAATTACATTTCAAGTACACAGTGTCCTCTTTCTGTTTTCTGGATTCTGAGAGCAGAACAAGCCTTCACCCAGACAATAGTAAAGCCAGTTTCATGGTAGGCCTTTGGTAGCCTCTCAAAGCTGGAGACACACAGGTGGATCATGACTGCATAAAGGGATGTCACGTCAGGGTCTGGCATTTTCTGTGCAGTGGAACCCCAAATGAATTTCTGCCACCAAACAGATCAAAATGCAACAGTCTTTTTTTCTTTTTAATTGGACTGTTGCCAAGTCTTATATTTCAACAGTAAGTCTAAGAGGTGGCTTTCTTTTACTATGTAGGATTCTACACTGGGAAATGGCCTTCTTACTGACAACGCTGACTGTGCTGCGCTGCACCGTCAGTATGTGGATGAATGCGTGTGTGTTCAGTCGCTCCATCACTTCTGACTCTTTGCGACTCTATGGACTGTAGCCCACCAGGCTCCTTTATCCATGGGATTCTCCAGACAGTAATACTGAAGTGGGTTACCATTTCCTCCTCCAGGGGAACTTCTGACCCAGGGATTGAACCTGCATCTCCTGTGGCTCCTGCATTGCAGGCAGTTTCTTTACTGCTGAGTGACTGGGGAAGCCCCAATATCTAGAGGCTTTCTGTTTTAAAGAGGTTATGTTACTGCTTTTCAAAATCTAGAGTTTAAAACAAAAGCATTGCGTTATATTAGCTAATTTGAATTTATTTTATTTTTGCAGGTTTCTGGAAAGTGCCTTTTCTGAAAACACTGCAGCTTGGATTCCACCTCAGAGCTGTCTCTTTCTAAACCCTTCTCCCTACCACCATCACTGCCACCTCTCCCCACCCTGCACCCCCCCCCCAAAATTTTCTCAATTTTCATAGTCATTTTCTCTCCTCCTGATTTTGCAACCAAAAGAAAAATTTTGCAGTTGTAACATCCTACCAATCCTAATCTTTAAATCCAAGGGATAGGGAGAAAACCTTTTCTCCCCTTGATCTGAGACCATTCCACAAATTGACGGGCAGCCAGCAGCATTTGCTCTTTTGTAAGAATAATTGAGAACATCAACTGGAGAGCACAGAATCCTTTTGAAATTCTGCCAGTTATTTGAAGTAACTTTGGCAGAGGAAAAACAAAACACTCTTAACGTTGACAGTTGCCTTCTTAGGAGTTGGTCTCTAATGTGATTTTTAGTTACTCTGATACAATTTTTATTTTACAGTGGACTTTTTGTTTGACCACTCAGACCGAATTTGACTTAAATTCAACCCTAAGTGCTAACAAAGAAGCATTTCACCAAAGCAACCTGTTAGCTCTTCACATTTAGCTGGAATTTATTTTTAACCTTTCAACAGCAGCACTAATAGTGCTCTAGAGAGGGTGTACTTGATTTTAAGTTTGCTTTCAGTATGACAGCTGTCAGTATTGCCCTGGTTCGTGATGCCAAGTGGCTGACTTTGGAAGTGTGTAGAGAATTTCAGAGAGGAACCTGCTCTCGAGCTGATGCAGATTGCAAGTTTGCCCATCCACCAAGAGTTTGCCATGTGGAAAATGGTCGTGTGGTGGCTTGTTTTGATTCTCTAAAGGTGAGTCTCATCTAAATGCACATCATTTAAAATCAACACTTGTTGGTTGCTGGGCTTTTTGAAATATGTTGTACTCTGAAATTAGTCAAGTTAATAATAGTATGAAAGTGGTAAGTTTGGTTTTTTTTTCTTTTTTTCTTTTTATTAGTTGGAGGCTAATTAATTACTTTACAGTATTGTAGTGGTTTTTGTCATACATTGACATGGATAAGTTTGTTTTTTAAGGCAGGATGGAGACTTTGTATTTGTAGAACTCAGCCAGACTAAAGCACACCCATCAAAGCTCACTGACCAAGACAGATAGAGAAAAAAGCTCAAGAATTTTTGTAGGAGAGACTGTAGCCTTGCTTTACTTTACTTCTGTGTATATTATTTAGGTTTTTAATGCAGTGATCATAATCCTCAGATTAACTAGAGAAGTCCTTACTGAAATATAGCTCATTATCTATGTTACCAAAAGATACTTGGCAGGGACCAATCAGAGGGTAAATAAAGTCAGATGGAGAGAGTAAAATGTGAAAATCTCATCATCCAGGAGGAAAATGATGGCATTTTGAATTTTCTTAGTCAAAGTCTATTTTGAACCTTTAACTTGAACTTACTGCTACAGTACTAGGTTCATATCATTTTCTTCCTAAACAGCTGATTGACCAATTTCAGATTTGTGAGCACATTTTATAAGGAAAGTTTTATTGCCAAGGTTATTAAACCTGAATATTATGTAGTAGAGTACAAACAAAATGTGAGGGAGGATGAGATTATATAGAATAGAACATATATGATTGCAGAACAAAAAATATACTGATTTCCATGTTTTATTCATGGTTATCCTTAAATTAAGGGTAAACATTGTACAAATTAAAGAATAGGAGTTAAAAATGGTAATAGATACCTGGTTTAACTAATAAGATTTGCTATGATGCATTTGAGATTTTTTTTCAAAATATGTTAAAATGAATTAAGCTTAATATTAATAAGAACCTTTTCAATTTCTTAATACTGTTTTACTTCACCAAGACCAATTTTATCTCATTAACATTTTTATTTATGGCTGCATTGGCTAATAGAGATGTATTCTTTTGTATGATCACTTATTCAGAAAACATTTTATCATGATATCCTATTTAAGTAGTTACTTTTGCTTATGTTGTAGTTGCTAGTTTTTGTTTCAAACCATTCCAGTTCAAGAATGGGCACTAGTTATAAAGATAATGGCAACTCCCAACATTGAAAATGTCTGAACTGCTCTTTTTTGTAGCAGATATTCTGACTAAAGGGCTTATTCTGTTTTCTTCATTTCATTTTCATTCAAGTTTCATCTATAATTATTTTACATATTATTTAAATCAAGGTCTTGGCAGTGCCTTGAATAGAAAAGAGCACTGGACTAGTTTGGGGGTAGGAGGGAAGGAAATGTCTTCTAGCCAGTCCATATAGAGGGTCCATCACTGCACTAGGCACTTTACATATCTTGTTTCAGAAGTTCCAGCCCCACTACTGTTTCTGACAAAGCTTGAGTTGCTTCATTTCTAATGCATGGATAATTCTTCTCTCCCTAACTTCCATGATTATTGCTGAGATTCCAATAAGATGACATAAATGAAAAACCATGTATCACTATAAAAATGAACTAAGGACTTCCCTGACAGTCCAGTGGTTAGGACCCGGTGCTTTCATGTCACAGCCCCAGATTCAGTCCCTAGTACAAATATACAGTGCCTTTAAAAAAATTAATTTGCCATTTAGATAGCACATGCATCACAGTTCCATATCTGCATGAAAACTTTGCAGTCCTGTTATATTATTCCTTATCCATGATATACACAAAAACCATACCATGGTATGCATGAAAACGATGCATGAAAACAGTTGACCTAAGTGGGTGGTACTACTACCATATCGCCAATATACAAATAACATACCTCGATGGTTACTGCAGCATTCACTACCTACTTTGAGTTTCTGTGATTGAAACACTTTTGGAATGTATCTATGTACTGTTTCCTCATCTATGAGTGGTTAAATAACTGAAGCAATCACTTGATGAGTTTTGGGTGCCTGCTTTTGGTTTTTGGTTTTTATAAGGATTCTATTAGCACTAAGTACTCTACCAGATGATGATGGTTCTTTGCCTTCATAATAGGCATAGTAGCTAACAATATCCTATACTCATCTCATAATGAGGGAATATTAGGAAAATAAGGAGGTTAAGCTTGATGGCTAATTGTGCTGAAGTGCTGGGCCTATCACTCTATGAATGTTGAATATTCACTGATGAAGCTTGCACCATCTTCAGTTAGAGATCTAGACATCACAGCCCATAGATTAATTTCCAGCTACATAAAAGAGTCTCATTTCATGTTGACATGAAACTTTTATAACTCAGTTGCCTAGTCTGCTTGGCACAATTGATTTCAGAAAGTATTGCTTAACCCATTCTGTGCCAAATTCTTGATATTACAGTTCACAATTAATCTAGGTTAGTATTTTTAGTGACTGTCCCTTGACTTTAACACAAGATCGTCACTGAAAATACCACCCCAAAATCTGTGATTGTTTTCATAGCCTGTGTTATCTTCCTCCATACTTGAAGCAGTGTGATATCTGCCACTTGTTATCCAGGAAGGATATAAATGCTGTCATTATCTAATTATGAAAGGTCAACATCCATCACATCTGCCTACCCCACTTACCACCTTGTGTAGTTTTTTAACAGAAATTTCCTGGCAGGGGCCTTAGCAGCTGGTATAGTCACAGGACAGCCATGTCAACCTATGTACATTCCTAGAAGATGGGAACTGAGCAAGAAAAAACAGAAAACAGTGCCACACTGTCTTAAAGTATTGCATATGATCACAAGCATAATAATAATATTTTGGCAAGTGAAAGCAGTTGTATAGGTATATGGATGTGAATATCCTTGTAGGTCCTGAGTTAACTTTGTCCTGAGTTACCAGTATATTCTGTGCGACTATCACTAGTCACAGCAGTTTCCATCAGTTTAAAATTTGATTATTTTTGACTGAATATTTACCTCATCCCTGTTTGCACAGGGAAAACTTAGCAGGAGCAGAAGATTCCTAGCAACATAATCCCAAGGGTTTCTGGATTATGCAAGTTTTAGAACCATTTATGAGCCTGATCAGAGAGGTCTGCCCGCACTGGAAAGAATACATAGATACCGCCTATCATCCTGAGACTCAAGGAAAGTAACATTTTACTTAAGGATCTTCTTACATTACTGACGTTAAAAAGGAAGTATCTTTGACCAGTAAAAGTCAGTGCTGTTTTGGACATTTCAAAAATCTCTCTTGAAAGAAAAATGGAATTACAGTCAGCATCCAAGTAAATACATATCGATGGCTCAGCCTCACTTTAAAGTTTTTATTTTGAAGTAATTTTAGGCTTACAGAAAAGTTTCAAAAATAGTATAAGGAGTTCCTGCATACTCTTCACCCAGCTTCCTGTAATGTCAACAACTTACATACCATACATAGCACAGTTATCAAAGCCAGGAAATAACTCTAGTTCGATACTATTAAGTAAATTAGAGACGTTATTTGAATTTCACAAATTTCCCTCCTAATGACCTTTCTGGGCTCCAGAATTCAATCCAGGACCCCACATTCTGTTTGGTGATCATGTCTCCTTAGTCATCTCCGACCTATGACAGTTCTTCAGTCTTTCCACATCTTTCATGACCTTGGCACTTTGGCTGAATACTGGTCACTCATCTTATAGAATGCCTCTCAATTTGGGTTTGTCGAATGCAGTGTCATGATTTGATTGAGGTCGTGCATTTTTTGGCAAGAAAACCATAGGAATGATGTGCATATCATATTTGATTGTACTTGATGTATCTCTCGGAGAAGGCAATGGCACCCCACTCCAGTACTCTTGCCTGGAAAATCCCATGAATGAAGGAGCCTGGTAGGCTGCAGTCCATGGGGTCACTTAAGAGTCAGACACGACTGAGCGACTTCACTTTCACTTTTCACTTTCATGCATTGGAGAAGGAAATGGCAACCCACTCCAGTATTCTTGCCTGGAGAAAACCAGGGATGGGGGAGCCTGGTGGGCTACCGTCCATGGGGTCGCACAGAGTTGGACACGACTGAAGCGACTTAGCAGCAGCAGCAGCAGATGTATCTCCTCTCTCCTGGTAACCTTTATCACCTGCTAAAGATGGTATCCGCTGGCTTTTCTGCTGTAAAGTGATCAGTTCTCCTTTTGTGAAAATCGATAAACATCTTCATTTATTCAACATCTCCTCGACATACCATTGATTGAAGGGTCACCCAGTATCCAAGCTGTCAAACTGTGGGAAAGTATCCATCTTAGACGTCTGTACTTACAGTCAATCAAGAAAGACAGGGAGGAGAAAATGGACCATAAGAGAGAAACAGCAGCAACTGGCCACCAGAAAGACAGAACCCTGGGGAATGGAAAGCCCAAGAAATTTCGTGATGTGCTTGTCCTTGTCACCTACTCCTATGGGGTGGCCCCTGTGCTGAAGTCAGCGCCACCCCACCCCCCAGCACCTCTAACTTCTGCATTAGGAAACAGACTTTCTGCCTTTTGTTTTCATGATAAATAACATTTCCCCCCAATTTAGAAAGTTATTCATCTTTATGAAGGGAAGGGAAAATACAAAAGAAAATTTAAAAATCATACACAAGAAGATAAAAATAAAAAGAAAATGTAATAAACTGTAATGAAATGTCATCCCCAGTACCACTGCCAACATTATGCATTTCATTTCACTCTTTATCGAATTGTATTTATGCTGCATAAACCTTGCCTTACCTTCTGCCTTCTTACAGACCTCTCTCCCTCTCTCACTCCCACTTGCCGATCCTGCAAAGTCAACCTCTCCCTCCCTTTATCCTTCCTGTCAGCTTCAGATTTTTCCCAGAGTATCAGAAAATATCTAAATACTGCCTGATCTTCTCCCATCATAGACTTTTAAAAATATACCAATTATCATAGTTATTTTTTTT